TAATTGTGTTCTGATTGCTTATTAACCAGAGAATGGACTAAACTAATGATAGTTATATTCTAAATGCATCATGTTAGTGGTGCTTATCTTTTACATAGATGTTAACATTATCTGAGCACTGTGTAGATTCAAGAAATTAGAATTGTCATAATACCATATTTCTTCCAAATCATGAGGCTCATCCTGTAATATAATCAAATCTCTAACAAATATCCTGGTATTGTATAGTTACCGTGTAACAAGAATGTAAATATCGCTACACTTATTTCAGCTACTGTTTTTACCGTATGATAATCCAAATAATATTTAGTTGTCACTGTATTGTACTAATTGCTTACAACTTAAACTCAGAAAGTGTATTTAATATGAAATATTTAGAGCAAGCATTTTCTACTTCTCCCATGAATTCATAAATACATCAGAGTAACTAAGCAACTGTCGTGAATTTGTCTCATTTACATTAGACTTGTAATTCCAACAATAACCATAACAATAAATAAAATAATAGATGTGTCGTTTAAATGAAAAATGAAGATAAATTCCAGATTTAATGTTGTCGGGTCACGGAAATATTAAAAAGATCGATATAATTTGTCATAATCATAACAAAATAAATATAGGAAGAAACAATGAAATTCAATTGATTGTTCTCATTTAGGATAAAAATCAATTATGTGGATATTGATATTATTACTGCCTATGTATTGTCTTTTATAAACTCAATCTATGATGACACATTTTGTGTACGTGTGTGTGAGTTGAAAAATTACAGTTTCCAAATTTATTTATTTGAACACATACATATTGGTACAAGAATGCGCCAAATATATATGCGCCACACAAAACAATGAGAATTTAAGGGGAAGGAGAAAAAAAGAGATTGATGTAAGGTGGTGTAATAATAATTATGGTAAAAATGGCGGAACAGACAGGTACAATCAGAAGGAATCTTCCAGTTAAGGGAGACACAACCACTTTTTATGAAGAAAGTAAAAGAAGGTTGCAGCAGGATCGCCACTGGCTTCTATTCTGAGCCATATCTGATAACGTCTCTAGCCACTGTGTCACACCGTCTCTCGGACCCCAACCAGGGAGTCGTGAAGGACCAACACAAGCCAGTCCTTTGCAGCTTTCTTTCATGCCACGACACCATGTCATGCACTGACCACCTCTCCGCTTCTTCCAACCAGTCCCGGAGTCGGCAAATAACGCACGACGTGGAATTCTCTGGGACGACATTCGTAGAACATGTCCAAGCCACCGACGTCGGTGTTTCAAGATGGTGACACCAGTTGAATTATCATCTCTGTGCTCGAACACACGATGTCGAACCTCTGCATTACTAGCATGGTGTTGCCACTGGATGTCAGCAATCCTTCGGAGACAGCGATGATCGAACACAGAGAGTCGTCTAACGTCCTCAACTCGGAGAGACCAGGTTTCACAAGCATAGAGCAAAACTGCTCTCACCAACGCGTTGTAGATCCGACCTTTTACAGTCAGACTAACATCACGAAGGCGCCAAAGGTGGCCCAGATCGGCATAAGCCGCTCTGGCTTTCACTATACGTTCATTGACCTCATCACTCACACCCCCACCAGCACTTATGCAACTACCGAGATACACGAACTTCTCGACTACGTCAATCTGCTCACCATCCATGGTGAGTACAGGATTTGAATCCTGCCAGTCTTGTAGAAGTACTTGCACTTGGAAGGTGCAAAGCACATACCATACCTACGGACACTGATTGTCAACTGATTAAGTACGGATTGCATGCCTTGGGCATTATCGCACAGTAAGATAATATCGTCCGCATACTCAAGGTCGAGAAGTCTTTCTCCAGGCAACAGATCCACACCACCATTACTTACATTCATCAGAGCTGTTTCCAGAATGTCATCGATGGCAAAGTTGAAGAGGAATGGTGAGATTGGGCAACCCTGCCTAACCCCACTGCTCGAATGGAACAATGGAGAAAGGTGGTTGTATGCCCTCACTCTGCCTGAGGTGTTTGTATATAGGGCCTTTAAGATGTTAATAAACTTCTCAGACATACCCTTCTTCATTAGACAATCCCAGAGAACAGTCCTGTCCAACGAATCGAAGGCAGCCCTGATGTCAAGAAACACTACGATTGTTGGCCTTTGATAAGTATGGCGGTGTTCTAACATTTGGCGGAGGGTGAAGATATGATCAATACATCCTCGACCAGAACGAAACCGAGCCTACTCCTCGCGAGTCAATCTTTCTCGGGTTTTGAACAACCTACGAAGTATGACGGAAGCAAAAAGTTTGGACGCAAAAGGAAGTAAACTTATCCCCCGATAGTTGTTACACGAACGACGAGAACCCTTTTTAAAGATAGCGACAACTATCGACTCATTCCATGACGTTGGTACACTCTCTAGCTCCCAAACCTTTGTAAACAACGTCGTCAATTCCTTAGTCAAAAAGTCACCACCATCTTTAAAAAGAGCCGGAGGTAAGTCATCTGGGCCAGGTGATTTGTAACGCTTCAAGAGTTGGAGTTCCTTGCGGACTTCCTCCTCATTTGGTGGATCAGTCGTCACCGGCCATGGAAGGCAGGACAGTCTGACTGATGTTGTCGGAGCAGCAGGCCAGTTGAACTGCCCTTCGAAAAATTCTGCCCACCGTCCAAGACGTCGATGGATGTTAGTGATTGACATCCCATCATCCTCGCAGATTGTTTCACTCACACCAGACCTCTTGCTGCCAGTGGCTCGGATGAGCTGGAAGAGCTTCCGGTAGTTACCAGATGCAGCTGCTGCTTCCAGCTCATTAGCACGCTTCGACCACCAGGCTTCTCGGTCCTTACGCAAGCTTTGCCCAATTTCCTTACGTAACATTCTTCGTTTATGGTCAAACTCACGGTCACCCGGAGTAGACCGACGGGCTTCAATGAGTTGTAAGGAACCAGAAGAAACCCAGTGCTTAAAAGCGGGACGTTTCGCAAGCCCACAACTGACTGTACCCGCCATTTTCATGGCGTCATGCAATTGCAACCAATGCTCATCTATACTTTTCGGTGGAGTGGTAGCTAGCCTAGAGGCTAGCTCGGTTCGATACTTACTTGCAACAGAAGTTGCAACCAGCTTGCTAATATCAATACGTTGATGGTGGTCACTTCGTTGTCCACTGAAAAGTAAGGCAAGATTGGCGCAGACCAAGGCATGGTCATAGTCCAGATAGGTACTCCAAAAGGAGCTGCAGTCTTGTACACAACCACGCCAGCGGTAGCTGATCGCGATGTGACCAATCTGAGTCCAGGCTTGAGATGCAGAGGGAGGACGCCAGGTGGCACATCGGCGATGACTGTGCCGAAAGTTAATGCTAGCCAGAAACAGGTTGTGGTCTGTGCAAAGTTGCAGTAGACGGTCCCCGTTATCTGACCTGCGACCAACGAGTCCCCATCGGCCACCTAAACGACTCTCTTCTGTGCCTAGACGCCCGACCTGAGCATTCAAGTCTTCGGCTAGTACTACAATATCTGTCGAACGCACTTTCTGGAGAAGAACAGATAACTGGTGGTAAAACTCATCCTTGATTGCATCCGGGCTGCAATCTGTCGGAGCATAGGCGGAGATGACGAAAAGACATCGTTTCTCACGCCGATTTCTTCTCACTTTGATGGAACTTTCTAATCTAACAGCACATAACCGACTGTTAATGGGGATCCAATCGACTAGTGCTGCCTCAGCTCGAGCGCTTAGTGCGACACCAACGCCAGCAAGACCAGACGAAGATGCCACAGGGTCCCCGGATAAGCGCACGTAAAACAAGCTTTTCGAAGCGACAGATAGAGATCGAATTTGTAGTACTTCATCAGAGTCTTGAATACGGGTCTCGGATAGACAGCAAACATCAATATTAAGACTTTCCAAGGACATAGCCAGCCCTATCTGTTGTCCGACCTGCATAATTGTGCGAACGTTGAAGGCAGCCAGTTTGAATGGTGCACGTGGTTTCAGAAAAACTGCTTCAGTACTCGTATTCGGTGGTAACATACAATTTTCAACCGGACAGTGACTCGAGAACGTTTAGGTAGAGTCGAATTTCCACCAAACACGAGCTGCTGTATAAACTGAAAAAATAAGTATAGATGGAGTAGGAATAAAAGAGGATGGATAATGGTGTAGTAAACAATAATAACAATAATAATAATAGTAATGGTAATAATTTGGATTATTTGACTGTTATTCGCAGCGAGAAATGTAGTTTCCATAGATATAGAGAGTTCATCATTTGCGTGTGGGCTGTGATACTGCCCGGGTGCCCAGACCAAAGCAGGTGGTAATCTTAGGGGGCCACACCCCGAGCTTTTGACCTAAAGGTCTAACCCACAAGGCAGTGGAGCATCGTAAGGAGATGCATTCCCATGGTAGCCGGTGACCGAAAATTGGTTCATACGCCATTCGCTCCCGCAGGATACTGGAGCCCATGTGCACCATTGATTTGGGATCCGGTTAAAGCGCCGAACATTCGCTTTTCGTCCCCTCATTTTCGTAAACAACACCGGTGCCACGAGAAGGCAGTGGGTAGGACTTCCCTGGCAGAGAGTATAAACGCGTGGCCGTGTGAGAGCATTTCGATAGGGAGAGCGGACTCTCCCCACTCTCGGCTGTACCAGGGCATTTGGGGGAAATAGCCGATAATCAAAACTCGAGACCAATGTAATACCATACTGTTTATTGATGAATGGACAGAGAACACAATGATGCATGAAATAAACATAAAATATTTAAAGAAAATGATTCACATTAGGCACATTCGTTTTAATGAGTATCCTTGTTGTTTCATTTATTTGTATAAGGGCGTATACGCGATAGATATAAGGAGAATGAGAAATTAATTTGTTAATTCAATTACATAGTTCAGCCAATCATGTGAGAAATAGACAAATAACTTTGTATCTAATATATTCTGGTTACTCTTAGGTGATTCTAGTTTTTATTATTATTATTATTATTATTATTATTATTATTATTATTATTATTATTAATTGTTATAGTTATCAACACCAACCCCATTTTCTCTTTCTCATCAATGTCATTGGAATTCTGTGGGGTTTGTTTTTTGTTATTCATTGAAATATACAACTGAATAAATATTACAATATGTGAATATTTGTGTATGTAAACGCTCATAGATTATGTACAACACATTTTTCTGTTTGTATTAGACATTTTGCCAATATTTCTTTTCAATGATGCTGATGATGATGTAGTTAATGTGACAACTGCAACTTGTTCATCTTCATTCAACTTCATCCCTCTATAATAATAACAGTAAACATTAATGATAACATATTTTGTTATTTACATTTATTATATATGTAAACAATTGAGTTATTTTAGATAAAAACAAATAAGTTTAACAAACTAATTGTTATCATGAATAAGCAGTAAAATTCATCCTCACAATGTAAATTAGTAACTATCCAGACTGAGTGACCTAGTGGATAACACGTTGAACTTTTAAAATAAAAGATACTGAGTTCGAGTCCCGAAGTAAACAGTCCAGATACAACTAGCTGATGAATTCTAAATCCAATAAAAACATATATTATAGATTCCACTGCTAACCTTAATCCATTTCTCATTGAAATACTTGTGACTTAACGACAAAATCAAAACAATCTGCGCTGGTGTGTAGAAATGTTAACCAATATATATATACTGATCAAAATTCACTCTTTAACATTAACAATGAATAGATTCAAACATTTATAAATAAACAATCATTATCAAATTATTAAATGATCAATTTAACATAAACTTAATTGACAAGAAACAAAGATGACATTGGAGAAAAAAAGAGAATAAAGAAACAACTGTTCATTAATATTTAGTTTACATAGAAATAGTTCGACATGATCCAGAGATTTAACTTGATGAAGTTTTTAAAAGAAAATAATAACTTTTTTCCTTTACATCTATAAATGAAATAACAATGCAAGAATTGTTAAACTAATGAAGGTTTTGTTGGCTGAAACATTATTATACACTAAATTTAACATTATTTATTAAAAGGCTATCAAATGAATATTATCAATATGGGATACTATTCACTTTGATAATCATTAATAAGATTAGATTGACTTATTTTAGTATTTTAAAACTCAAGATTCTTTCTTATTTTCAATTTTCTAACAACAATTCTTCTGATCCATGAAAAGAACTTATTTTTCTTATATAGTATAGTGTAATTCCACATGGTTAGAAGAATATTCATAATGTAAGGTTTCAAAAAACTGTTTAAGTGATTTTGCTTTAGATAGAGATTGGTTGTAAATCGACAGTTTTTACATGCTATAATTAAATTCAATACCTCTAAAATGAAAAAGCAATAAAACTTGACGCTATATCTAAACTATCTCATTAAATTTAACCTAACTTCATCTGTCGCTCTTTTAAGGCTACTGCCGGTCCCAAAAGTGAGTAAAGGAGGAGGGTTGGGCATCAGGTCAGTAACCCCATCCCGTAGAAAGCAACCTTGCTAAACGACGCCAAACAGAATAAACAAATTAAACTGTCTAAACTTTGAACTACGAATTGAAGGATCTTCATTTACAAAATTATGACGCCTCATAGTGAAACGCCGAGATTCTTCAGAAGTCAAGGGGAAGATGACCTTCTAACAACCACAGCAACAGTTAATATTGGTACATGAAACATCCTGACATGTGAGAGACCGGGAGTACTAGTCAAATAGCAACGGAAATATGGAGATGCAACGTAGCGGTTCTTGAAACCAAGTGAAACTCATCGGACCCAAGCAGGACAGCAAAGATTAGGTACGATAGAGATGCTGCCGTATTCTGGTCACGAGGAGGAAAATGCTCCACACACTCAGGCAGTTGCTCTGATGCTATCCAAAGAAGCAAGTAATGCATTTATACAATGGGGATCTCATAGACTCAGGATCATCAAACCATCTTTCAGAACAAATAAGGAGGGAATCATAATGAATGTTACCCAGTGTTATGCACGTAACAATGATAGCAAGGACGACGATAAAAATCAGTTTCATGAGAGACTGCATTCTATCATGACGGAGTGTTGAGGAAACGATATGACCATCCTGATGAGAGATCTAAACGCCAAAGTTGGAATGAAAAACACCGGGTATCAAGATATCATGGGACGACACGGACTGGTTGGGAGAAAGAAACGAGAACAGTAACAAATTTGCAAATTTATGTGCATCCAACAAATCGCTTATAAACACCGCAATATTCCTACACAAACACATAAACAAAGCTACACGGGTCTCCCCAGGCCACACTGAACACAATCAGATCGAAGATATTTGCATCAGTAAAAATTCAGAAGGGAAACGGAAGACGTGAGAACCAGGGGAGAAGCTGACATAGCTTCAAATCACCACCTGGTTGTAGTTGCCAAAATGAAACTGAAGCTAAAGAAGCAACGGACAACTGGGGAAACAGCATTACAAAGGTTCAACACAGTCTTCCTACGAGGTCCTAACAAACTCAGCGAATTCAAGATTATTCTCAACATCAGGTTCCAAGTCTTACAGGATCTACTCAAAGACGAATGAACCATTATTGAGGACAGTTACAAAGGGATCAACAAAGCACTAACGTTAACAAGTCAGGAGGTTCTGGGCCGAAAGAATCATTATCATAAGGAATGGAGCTCTATGAAACCTTGGGTAAGATTTAAGAATGTAAGAGCAAAAAGACAGCGATTAACCACAGTCGAACATGAACAGAGAAAGTCAAGGCACAACCTGAATTCACAGAAGCAAATGAGAGAGCAAAAATGAGCATTAGAGCTGACAAGCAGAAATATGTGGAAGACCTAGCAACGACATTGGAAACAGCTGCAGTCGAAGGAAATATCAAACAACTATATGACACAATGAATAAACTAGCACACAAATATAGTAAACCAGAGAGATCGGTCAAGGACAAAGAAGGCAAGACAATCACTGAGATTCGAGAACAGAGGAACAGATTGCTAGAACGCTTCGAGGAACTCTTGAATAGACCAGCTTCATTAAATCCACCGAACATCGAAGCAGCGCATACAGACCTTCCCATAAATGTCCATCAGATCATCAAACAAATCAAGAGTGGGAAAGCAGCAGGACCTGGAAATATATCAGCTGAAGCTCTGAAGTCAGACATATAAGTAACCACAAATATGATTCACACTCTATTCAGGAAGATTTTGGAGAAAAAGCAAATGCCACTGACAGATTGAAAAGAAAGATACCTCATCAAAATACCAAAGAAAGGAGATCTGAGAGAATGTGAGAACTCAGCTACAGAGGTATCGCACTACTTACGATGCCAAGGAAAGTTTTCCACAGAGTGTTGCTGAAACTGATGAAAGATTCAGTAGACACCCAACTTCTAGATCAATAACCAGATTCTGTAAGGGCCGGTTGTGCACAGATCATCGCTAGACAATCAATTGAATGGGACTCGCCACCATACATCAACTTCCTTGACTGTGAGAAGGCGTTTGACAGTATGGATAAGAGAACCTTACGGAAACTTCTTCGACACTATGATGTACCTGGGAAGATCGTCGACATCACACGAAATTCATACGACGTACCACACTATAAAGTTGATAAACTCATTCCAAGTAAGGACCAAAGTCAGACAAGACTGTTCACTCCCGCCCTTTTCCTTTCTACTAGTGGCTGATTGGATTATGACGACCTCGACATCTGAACGGAAGCACAGAATACAATGGACAGCTCGGAATCAATAAGAAGATTTGGACTTCGCAGATGACCTGTACCTTCTATCCCATACACGTCAACAAATACAGATGAAGACAACTAGTGTAGCAGCAGTCTTTGTATCAGTAAGACTCAACATACACAAGGGAAAAAGCAACATTCTCAAATACAACACGGAGAACACCAACCGAATAACACTTGGTGGGGAAGACAGGGAAGAGGTGGAAATTTTCACGTACCATCGATAAACAAGGAGGATCCGATGCAGATGCAAAGGCAGGAACTGGCAAATTAAGGACAGCATTCATACAGTTGAACATCATATGGAACTCGAAATAACTATCAACCATTATCAAAGTCACAATCTTTAATTTCTTGGACTTTGAAATTTGATTTTTACCATAATGTACACTTTATTTCAAACTTTATTCGTTTGCTCCATGTGTCTTTATCTGGATATTACTATTCAATATTCATTTATTAATAGTGGCTTTATTCAGAATTATATGTTTAGTACAATATAAAATTCTCAGCACAAAGTATTTCAACAAGTTTCTTTTATAATACAAGAAAAAAGAAAAAAAAACACCTATAATTGAATACATATGTACATACATTAAATAAATAAACTACCTGGAATGTAATGAAATGTTTTTTTTACCCAGAAGATTTGACTCTGTACAACATTGTTATTAGAAACATCCCTAAGAGTATAAGTTAATGACTATTAGGTCAGCTCTAACAATCTTTTCGTCAAATGGTATATTTGTTAAATAAACTGTTATACAGCTTACATATCTTTGCTTGCATGTATGAATTCTAATATATGGGCGCCTCGTCTTACCAGAAGATATACATTTATTTATTTAAAAAGTAAGTAAGATAATAAACAGGTGTATAATCGCATTTTGAAAGAGAACCTTTTATTTTTCATTTAAGATATTTAATCTGATTATCATTAAATTGAATAATTCACTAATCTGAATTCAGTGTTTATTGATAATATTATGGAAAAATTGAAATCATAAAAACAAAATCCAGTGTTGCTATTCAGAATGAAACTAACATTGATCCAGTTATTTTAATGTATTTGTACTGGTCTCCCAATAAATAAAATAAATGATGAATAAAATCATTCTACAATATAACTATTCATTATTATCCTCATCAATATAAGTGTATTCTTATACTAAATATGATATACTAATAGTATGAAAATTGTATACGGAATTAGTATCTTGAAGTAATTCATAATAGAGATGTAACTTCTTCCTATCTTCCCCATCCTCTAAGATGAAAATATTTGGAAGTTTAATAGATTGGATATCAAGGGAGACCAATGATGAGATGTTTCAGATACCATAAAAACGACTATCTGATAAAATGAAGAGTTTGGTCAACTCGGATAAAATACTTAGTAATCGTATTCTAGAAGAGAATAGTTAATGACCTAAAGTAGTTTCCAACCAAACATTTTATTTCAAAGTGAAACTGAAATAGGATTTAAATACTAGATTTTACCTAGTTTTATTATTCCCATTGTCAAATATGAATCTTTTAAACGATGTGTTTTTATTCTATGCACTAATCTTGATTCGATCAGAATATATAATTTCCCTAAAAACTAGTTGTGTTATATATTATTGTTTTCGTATTTTATAGAACACGGACACTGTGAAATCGTTAAACACTCGATTTATTACTTCAATCAATATTCGAATAAAAAACTAATCTAACTGTTCAAATTCTCAAGAAACATTCTTGTTAGGTTATTTTTACTTTCATATGTTATTTGTAATTTACAAATACTACTAATTAACAACCATTTGACTGATATTGGCTTTATTATCAGTTGTTATACTGTAGAAAAAAGTCATTAGATATTACTGAGAAGAAAACATTTTTTTGGTTCATATACATTTATTTCTGAAGAATAAAAACAACAGTTATTTAATCTCTTGCTTTCCTCAAGAGAACAGTTAAATTATTCACTGAATTCAATACGTCATTCACACGGTTGAAAGGATGATATTTTATGTTATTTGACAAAGTTAGAATTGTTTAAAGTTGAATTCCTAAACTATCGGCATTCAAGTGTCGCAACTCAAATGTCAGTAATCAGTCACAACTCTTAATTAAGAGCTCGCTTTTACAATAAATTACATATATATATTTCTTAAATTTAACTTACTCCGTAAGTAGTTCAACAGCTTCTGTGATATTATGCTTGCTTAATACACTTGTTTCAATGAATGAAACGTGATGTAACTGAAGAAAAATGAGGTAAAAATGTTTAACACAATCAATATTTTTCTGTATGCGGTTATCAGAAAAAATGATAAATATTTAATACAAATTCACATTCTACAAAATATATTAAAATTATTTAATTAATCAGTATAGTTTGATCATTTAATTAAAAGATAAAACACTTTTGGTATCTAGATCTTATGAATAGATTGGAAGAAACTTTACGGCAGTCTTTTCGGCAATGTTGATATGGATGTATGATAAAAATTTATTACACTAATCTCTTATTATAACTGATAGGCGTTTTTTTAATCAAATATTTTAGGGGCATTTAAGAAGTAACAGTTTTACACCTTAGGTTTCGAAAGAATTTAATTAAAAATCCAAAAATACAATAAATTGAATATAAACAAGTAGTACTGACAAATATATGTCAACAACTTTGATAATCGAATGTTTCTCTGCTAGAAACCACATATATAAATCATTTTAAGTCAATACATAATCTGTCTTAATGGAGATATATACCATTACATCAAGGGCGATACATCAATACGGTTTATCGACTGTTATTACATATTAAGAGGTAGCTCTTCTAGGGTTACTGCCGGTCGCAAACCTGGGTGAAGCAGGAGAGTTGGGCATGGAGTCTGCAATCTCATCGCGTAGAAAACAAGCTCTCTATAAGACGCTAACCAGAATAAACAGTTTAAGGGAGTGACAGGTAGACGATTAATTTACAATGATTTTTGAATAAACTGATTATGTTATGCAGAATGAAACACTTCTTACTTACTTTAGCTACATTGGCACCCATTTCATATGTGATGTACTTGTGCGATTCCTCTTTTTTCATATCATCATTAGTATTATAACTTTCTTTAGTATTGTTACTACTGGTATTGCGTAAATCAACTTTATTACCAACTAAAAGAATTGGAACATTTTCTTCACTCGTCGATTCCTTTTTATCAAACAAAAAGAGGTTTTTGAAAAAAGTTGTCAGTAATAAATTTAATGAAGATTGTTTATCGAATTTTTGTAAAGTTACACGTACATATGACTTTAATCATATGATTCCATTTTTTTCTCAATGATTATTAATATGGTATTCAACCACAACTAATATCACTACGTGTGGAATAGTTAATTTACCACATCATATGCTTCAGTAGACACAGTCAGAAAGTTTATATAACAAAATAGTTTGGATTACACGAACTATATATATATATGATACTTAATTTTACTGTGCAATATAATCTGTTGAAGATTATTTGCGTTTTGTAGACTGAAATGTAATCTTCACTTATCCTTGATCATTGAGCATATCCAGGTTCGTGATTCACTCCAAAAAGATGAAATATTTAACCAGCTAGTGTTTAAATTGGATTTACTTAGATGGTTATTACAATCATAAATGGTTACTGATTTTGAAATCATTGATTCAAGTTGGTGAATAATACTTCATGTTTAGATTCAAATCTTGATTTCTTTCCAACATGATTATTCCTAAATCCAGTATACACTGATAAGAATATTTAGGTAGTATTGTATCTAATATAAACATCCATAAAATTTTCTACAAGAACTTATTAGCATAAAAATTGATTGTCGAGTAGTAAGTCTCAAATCCATATGAAAGCCTACAAGATGAAATATACGGTGTTTTTAAAAATTTTGGTGATTCGGAATGATATCACTTGTTAAATAACTAGTTAACCTATCAGCAAAGATATATTTTTATCCTCTAATTCAATTTGAAATGAATTTGATTATCGCAGTGTTGATATTTCGGCTAAATTTGACCAGCCTGGGTTCTAGTCCCGGAGTGAAGATCAACTGTGGCATTCAGGTATGTGAAGCTGACAAGTACCAAATAGGACGAAATGAGCGTCCTGGATTCCACTACTAGCCACATTCCATCTTAGTATTCTTCATTTGTGATTAAAATAGAGACTTCGTGGGAAAGAAGTAATAACGGCATATGCTATTTAAAATATAAAGCTTGTAATAATGTCAGTGGTTAGACAGTTCATGTATGAAATAATGTGTCATTTATTGGTTTACTAACCTCTAGCTGGTAGTATATATATGATATACCAAAAATATAAAACAAATGAGAACTCTTATGCACATGAATTGTGCAATAAAAGAACAAACTTCCTATCATCTAGGATGGATAAACCTTCATTTGTTAATTAAATCATCAATAATAAGCAATGAGAAATAATTGTCTGTCTAACATGACATCTACTTTGGGAAAAAAACTTTCCTTCATTAGACCATCTAATTTACAAGACCAGAAAAACCAGTATTTTAACACACGTTTAGTTATAATTACAATCGATACTGAAAACCTTTGAATGTTGACTAAGTTGCCCTTGTTTTGAGATCTGAAGGTCTTGGGTTCGATCTCCGGTAAGGTTTTGAATAAGCACTATTGAGGAGTCATATGCCAGGACAAAGCAGTTATCTAGGTCACTCTGGTTTTCAGTGGTGACCTGGATAATAGTGAACAACATTCACAAATCCTGTATGCCAAAAAGTTAGCTATCTAGTAATCCAGTTACACATACTGACATTTTTCAAACAATCCATGTGACGGTTACTAACCGACTGGTAAATATTTGTAGAAGAATAGATCTCTATGCTGAAAAATCCGATCTTCACAAAAATCAGCAGTATTTACCTAATTCTCTGACAGCACTAATCTTTAATCAGAAATGTGATAAAATCCACCTACTTTTATCATTTCCATCCAATATTTGATACTTGCAAATGTATCAGGTTGATCAACTGCATACATTAAAATTACACCGTCAATTTTGCGGAAATATGAACGGACAATACAACGATACCTAATAAAAAGAAACGTATCAAGAATAAAATTTATTTATGCACTCACCATTGACTAAATGATAAAGTAGACGCTTTTTTTCATATTTTCTTAGACATCACCAAACTGGTCAGCAAATAATTAATGAATTATTATACACAAGTGTATTCTGATAGAGAAACTGCTCATAAAGTCAAAGAGATATAAGTTTCAGTTATAAACAGTATAGAGCCTGACATAAATATAAATTAGCCTAGATTTTTATCCGACAATACAAAGATAAAATGAGACTAACAAGATAAATACCAAAGGAATCGAGATGATGCAACACCAATTAATAATGGCTTTATTCAATATTATATGCCGAATATACGATGAAACTCTCAACATAAAGTATTTTCGCAAGTTTCTCTTACACTTCTCATATAAAAAATATTTTCACGTATAGACGTGAAATAAGTAAAGAAGTTATGTAAAATTGAAATATCAAAAAAATGAAATTCTATACAACTGTGAATACAAGTCTCTGATCAGATTAATTCACACAATCTGCTAGTCTTACAGTGGATGCGCTAGATACGGTACTGCAGAACTTCCATACTTTTCTTTTTAATTATGGATTCTAAGGTATCCACATCTCGTTTTACTAAAAGACATACAAGGAGAAAGATTTGTATGTAGTAGATGATTAATATCTTATAAAATAATACTGTTCAGTAGTTTTCAGGATCTAGAATATCTGTCAGCAACCAAATTCATCATTATATCAAAAGATTTACCCCCTACCTTACAAACTCCCCTCAGCATTCTCCGCAACACAACAAAACCTTTTCTCAAAAGCCCAAGAGGGAATAATAGGTAATATACAGGAATTTATGGATCGTGGAAGTAAATGTTTGGTAATTCCAGGAGCATATAGCAATTTAGGCGAAAAAATTCCAATGGTATTAACAGGGCATGTTAAGACCAAGATAGACCAAAAAATACTTATACCAAAACAAATAATGTTTGACAGTTTTTTTAGAGATCCCCTAATAACACAAATTTTATGTGATTCTAACATGGTGTTTAAGTGTTTTCTATGCATTAGGCTAAAGTTATTGGTTCAGAATTTGGATGTATTAGATCCAAGATCAATAAACACAGAACTTCGTTCAATGAGTGTAAAAAACTGACGCATTACGAGTACATTTGAAAAGGAAGGAACTGACGTAAATACAGTAATGTCATCCGCATACTTAAACAAAGCGTTTCTGATGGTAGACCATTCAGAAAATAAGGAGGATGGAAATGGAAAAAAACAGCTCCTTGTTGAGCATCAGCTTGAGTTAATAAAGCAGTAGGATACATTCTACCAAGCACAGTATAATACTGTCTTTCAGCAAGTTGGTTATCCATATTTTGATGTTAACATTGTCAAACAAACATAATAATTCTAGTCTTTGAACACAGTCAAAGGTAGGTGTATGACTGGAAAGTGCACGTCGAATATATTTCCTACCCGTTTTCAAACAGAAAGACGGAACATCAGAAACATGGTTTGAACGCACCTGCATAATTGTGAATGATTCTGAGACATGTCATTTAACACCTGCAACCACTGATCACAATTATTGCGCAAACCCCAACCTGATAATTTATATCTATCAACATACTTCAGGCCTACACTCAGTGATTTCATGGATTGACGTCACACTTTAGTTTAAGAGCCACTAGCCTTCTTCCAAACCATTTCGACATCAATAAATACCACTCGTCAATTTAGATGATAGTTCAGTATACATAACACATGTCCTACCCACCTCAGTCAGTGAGGATTTACCTCATCAACTGATTTGCAAACCTTGCCAAGTACCATATGCCCAACCACAACATCGTTCACTCGATCGTTATACGATATCATAAGCGAATAATTTATGTTTGGATAATTAACATTGAAAATAATTATGTACAAAAAATAATTGATATAATTTTATTATTGTTCTCAATTAAGAACTATTAGCATTGTAATCAAAGAGTAGTTAACAACCGGCACTAAATAATGAGCTAATAATACCATCTTTTTTAGATTGACTATCGTTAAATTAGTCTTTTGGTGAGCTGTCATTTGTTTAAACAACAGATTAACAAGTCTTTCAAAAAGGACATTTTGATATATGAAGAAAAATGACGTGAAATTTTATTTTATTTTGACAATAAACCACCGAAAGTAGATAAACCATGAAAGTCTGTCATAGTGAATAAGTATCAGTGACATTAAGAAAATAGTTGTAACCGTTTGTACCTAAAAAAATAAATCTTTTTGTAAATATACATATACTGAAGATGACAAGTAAAACTAATAAGCTATCGGAATAGTCATCTCCAAGAATCTCAGATCAGTTAGTATATCTATCAGAACATTGAGAATGTAGTGAAAAACCTTTTGCTTGAATAAAATTTTAATACCTAAATAATGAGAATTTTTTAGTATTTTCCATTAATCCAGTGGAACTTTTCACTATAACTGTCTAGTTAATCTTCATCCTAACAAAAATAATCTTGAATGCAAATGAAGATTTATTTATTCAATAACCATGAATTTCATCAGTAATCTCTAACTGATTAAAAAGACATTGAAAATGATGTTATATATGTCGTTTACCTAACAGGTTAATAGTCACGTTTGAATACATTAAAATAGGTAGGAGTTGAAATCGATTAAACAACAACCTGATAGACGTATTTAATTTACAACATCAATAGATCAACTGTTTCAACTAATAAATATAACTACATAAATGAATTACTTTTTTTTACTTCTTCTTAATAGTTTACAACTTACGTCTCTTGTCCAGCAGTATCCCATAATTGAATAGTGTACACTGAATTATTCATTTTAATATTTTTTGTTCGAAAATCAACTCCTTTAATAGAAAAAGAACGATAAACAGCTGATTGAAACAAAATAACTTCTAAACATAAATTTTGATATTATCACTAGATTATAGCTTTCTGCTACACAATCTAAACTAGTAATTTGAAAAAAAGATAATACAAATTAAATTTACAAAAATGTTATTTGATAAATTAGTTGATCCATGTGTAGATAATTGAAGGTAGTCGATAGGAAACAATGGATCTAGGTTTCGTGCTATTTAACACCCGTCAGAAACACCTAACATTTCAATATAATGGATATGATATCTAGTCACTTAGACTTGTATCTACATTACAACTTGATCGACAGATATTCGATCGGGATCAAAAAACTAAACAAATATGACAGTAATCATCACCAAGTGATTGACTAGTTGTAATTTGTCTACGGCTGACGAAAATACTGAAAATACTAATCTAAGATGTAAAGCACTTAAAATCTATCGAGAACAGATCAGTTGTTTTGTGTTATTTTATGTCTTTGAAAATATGCATTACTAATAAATATTTAAGATTAAGAAACATCTTTCTCAAGTGTCGAGTGCACTCACCAAATCCACTGATAAGGTAATAAATCATCGTCATTTGAGGTGGTGAGACGTTTCTTAGGTACGCCCAACCACCGCCTATCTCAACGAGTGATGTCTGATGTAAGAGTAGGCTACAAGACAGCTAGGAGCCGCCAAACCAAAACATGGCATCAGTCCACGAAGTTGTTAACAATTGAATTGAGCTATGTCAATAGGTGCAGACTATCTGGTCGGGGTTCATGTAAATATCTAATGGATAAACAACCACTTATTTGTTCTTATCGAAAGAAAACGAGCCTCGTGAATAAGGTCAACAAAAGCTTGATGAATGGATAGAAAATGATAGTTTTCCAAAAACGCTCCCTTAATATATCGACTACACTTAAATTACAATTTGATTTATTCTCTGTAAAAAGCTTTGATGAATTAGTTCTGATGGTGAGAAAAATTAACAATTATATCTTTTCCACAGATGATTCTGCTATGTTTGAAGAGATTACGAGGTCACCTCATATGCCAACGGAACAAAGACTCTGTGACCAAAGACCAATAACCTAGCTATTCTGATGCGTCCCAACCCCGCTAACTAGAGAGAGAAGTCCAAGTTCGCAACGGGGAAATATATACAGCAAGCAGCCAGAAGCACGAACAAACACGACAAGTCTAGTCGGAAATACATTCATTTATATATTGGTTTGTACACTCATATTTTTGCTTAATAATCAGAATAAATCACATATAATATGAAACATACTTCATATAAGAATATATAGAATAAAATGTCATAGGAGAAAACGAAACAAATATTATCCTGAGTCATCAACAAATTAAATTAAATGGGATTAATGTTGAATAGAAATCATAATGAGTAAATCCATCTAATTTTGACTTTTTATCCCGTCATAACAAATTTACATGGTTCATTTGTAAATAACTTCTAGATTAGATTAACTGCTTTCTAAAATTTATTCTTCAAATTCCATCTTGGAAGTACGTTTCACTAACTGAATCATATTCTAGAAGTACTGGACCGCCTATTCATCCTAGTATAGGACTCCTCAGCAGTGCGCATTCACGATCCCGCACCCCGCGAGATCCAAACCCAGGACCTATCAGTCTCGCGCCAGGCGCTTCATTTGACTCATGATTTCAATCAGTGAAAATTTCTAAAATCTCCACGAAACCCTTTCCGAATCATAATCATTGAAAAACTCAGAATAGTTATTTTTAATGAAATACAGGAACGGTAAATGTTGATAACGAAAAAGCTACTTATTTCTCCTTGAAATTGTTAAAACTATTTATTCAACTTACCTAAAGTAGCTCTAAGTTGTGGATAAAATATTCCATCACAAAATCGATATGAGAAACTAGATTTGCCAACACCTGAATCCCCGACTAAAATCACTTTAAATATACGTGTTGGTGTTAAAGTTTCTGTAGGGTGTTGTTCTTCAGTATTATTTTCGAGAGCTATAAATTCATTCTTATCATAATTGGAACCACTGACACTGCTAATATTCTCACTAGAGTAATCTGAACGTCGACATGTGGAATCAAGATGATGATTTTGTTGGCGTTGAAGTGGTAGAATATTTTCCAAACTGTCAAATTCATACGGCTAAAATGTGTGAAATACATGAAAATTAAGACGCTTTTTAAAGTTCGTTATCTACTAGCAATCAAAATAAATTAGCTAGAGACGGTACAGCTAGTGTAAAATGTCACTCAATTTCGTCAATGTGAAAATCATGAGAAACTTAGTGTTTGGTAATTACTAAAGACATGTTTTTCTATAAAAATAATAGTCGATTTTAGAAACTAAGATCTACTTTGATGATGGGATAATAATGTCTCATTGAGGATCATATAACTATACCAATTGGTTCCATTTATTTACAACATGGTGACTATGATAAACAGGACCTAATCAATTATTAAACTCAAAAGTACCGATGGCAAACTTATAAGCAGAGTGAAGAAAACATGATTTAAAACCAGCAGTAAACAGTTCCTAGATAAGCAATGAACAAATAACACATATACTTAATCTGACCACCAACAGAATACGGTATTCGACTATTTTTGTTATTTATGTTGAGAATATGATTTGAAAGGTGAGGAGAGTGGTCCATTATATGAACCATATGCTTGAAAACTTCTATAAGAATTGTGATATGAAATCGTCAAAATAAAATTCCAACATCTTATATATCAGCTGTGGGTAGCATCTTTTAATCTTTGCTCAAAATTAGTATTTCTGGGATGATTGTTTGATTGAAAACAGATTATTTATTCACTGGATCCATCTGTAAATCAACACAATAGATGTACCAGTTGGAAACTCAACCCATCAATCGTTCACTTTTAATATAAGATCACTGCTCAGTAGGATAATAATTCAATACATTGATATCTTGAATTGTGGGTTGTAAAGCTTAAAACACCTAGTAGAAAAATTTATGTTACATCAGAATTCATCTAAACTTCTGAAGTATTTCAGTCATTCAGCTACAACGTAGGACCAGGCATATATATGCATTGGTCCAAGTTGCCATACCTCATTAACACAACAAGATGAACACCAAATACATAGAAGTAGTTAATTCAGAGGTGGTAATATATAAAAGAAAGATTGTATATATGGATATAGTACAGGAAGAAAGAATTACTTCGTATAAAGAAAGATATGAAGCGAATTTAATCTCTTAGTTTAAGGGAAGACAGGAAGTGTATACACCTACTCCGTTGTGATCGATTCTGAGCCATGTCAACAAGAGTCTCCAACCATTGATTACGATAGTCACGCGGACCCCAACCAAATAGTCTGCATCTACCAACATGGTTCAAACTAGAAGTTAGTGACTTCAAGGACTGATGTCACGTTTCGGTTTGGCGGCCCTTAGCTTTCTTCCAACCAACTTCAACACCGGTTAGCATTGCACGTCGTGGTGATCAGTGTTCAGACATACGTAACACGTGGCCCAACCACCTCAGTCGATGAAGATTCATAACCTCATCAAGTGATTTACCATCATTCCCTAATACCCTGTGTCTAACCTGAAGTATTTACTATTAGTCAAATTATGATTCCATTAATAAAGTACAATGAATAGATCTATATTAAACTGCACAAAAACATTAGATACTTAAGAAACATTTCCAATAATCATGCATTATTGAAATTAATATTCTAACATTTGCTAAACATAATAACAATAAATACAAAAATGTGTAAAACTTGTTCAAAATCCAATTAAACAATTCACTCTAAATTATTATTATTATCACTACCCAATATACGTGCTCGTATATCGTTAAATCAAGGTTTGTAAATACTATATTTATTATAAATTAGAAACTGATCTCATATGAGATTTAAAATATTTTCATATAATAATATGATCCAGGTATGTACTTATTATTGGACATTAATAATTGTCCTTTATTCAGTGTTATTATCAGTATTTACAAATAACGAATAGATCATTAATATACACTTTAAATGCATTAGTCATATGCAAACTCTTAAATAAATAAAAAAATTGTTTTATACAATGTCCATCAAATTAATTTTCTTTATATATATATACCTTTTGGTTTAGAAATGATGATATCAATCATGAGATATTTAAACATACCAGCCGTTTGTGATTGATTTCTCAAAGTAAAGTTTTACTTTTAGGTCTTTTTGTGGGGAACATATTTTGAAATGATATTTTCTTGTTTGATAAACAAAAGTTATTGCTACAAGACGCCTTTCTATTAAATAATATTTCCTCTGTAGTGTAAAATTACAAAAAACCGGATACTATGAACGGTAAGTTTATTTATTTGAACACACAAAAACATTGATAAAAGAAGACACCAAATACATATGCGCCACACAATAATAATGAGATCAGTAGCAGTTTGTGTGTCGGCTGTGATATTGACCAGGAGCTCAAACCGAAACAGGTAGTTTTTTTAGAGGGCCACATCCCGAGCCTTTGATCTACAGGTCTAATTCATAAGGCAACGGAGAAACATCAAGAGGTGCAGTACCATGGTAGCCGGTGACCAACAATTGGTTCACACGCCTTTTGTTCCCTCAGGATACTAGAGCCCATGTACACCATCGGTTTGGAATCAGGGCTTCTCAACCCCCCAGGGGGATCATCCATATCAATCAACCCGGTTAAAGTACCGGACGTTGATTTTGTGTCCTCTCAATTTCTTAAAAACACCCTTTTCACGAGAAGGCAGTGAATAGGACTTCCCTGACAGTGGCTGTATACGCGTGGCCATGTGAGAATATTTCAAGAGGAAGAGCGGACTCTTCCCACCCTCAGCCGTACTACGGTATTTGTGGGCGTGAACCGTGAGACTATGACTTCGTATGCGAATGATACAATCTAGATTCTTGAGTCAATAATTCCCAATGTGATTGTGCAACCTTTAATTACCAGGATAAAACAATTATTAGATCCACTCTCTGATTTTCAATAAATCACCATCTGATGATAATCTTCAATGAAAACAATCTTTAAGTTGAATGAATCTCCATCATCTCCCTCTAGCCTAATTTATACATTTTCCACAGTTTTAAATGTCATCAACTGAGTCAGAAACCACCTTATTTTTGTTCGACTTCACAAGTTAACAGTCATACTTGAAGTAACAGTCTTCTTAAGAATATTTTTAAGGGTTAATAGGTCATGTATACATATTTAAAAAACAATGAAATCTAAGCAATATTTACGTTTTCAGTATGTTCTAAAATCGATACCGAAAAATACTGAAAACAATCAGTTACCATTATGATTAAAAACCGGTTGCAGGTAGACAAGTTAATACTTTGGAATACATAATTTTCATTGTGGCATATATATTTACTGAAACTTACGATATTATTATGACATGGTAGCGAATGAGTTGATATATGAAACATCCAATCCCTAAACTATACAATAGGAAACGTCTGTGATTCAATTTTTAGCTTACCGACCTATGAATTTTCTAATTATCCCACTTCAGAAAGAGACATTTTCTATGCATATATTTACAGTAAATTAAACAATGTAGTTATTTATGATAATGAAAATATACTACTTATAAACGATTTGTTCGTTTACAGTAGTATTATTCTTCATACTAAACTTGAGTCAGAAATCTATTCTTTGTTTTGCAAATCACTACCTTAAAAGTGAAAAAAACTGTAACACTTAGAAACTTTAGAATTTATGATAGAAACTGAACATGATACTGTCCAGTAAACTGTACGAATTACTACTACTTCCAAACATATTGAACAAAGAATGTTAGTTCTAATATAATCCGATAGAATTCTATATTATAAATTAGACACGTTTAATCGTCCTGAATTTAGGAGGGAAAAAGGTAAACAACTAGATCTTTACAAACACAACATAAAAACATATACATATTCATACAACTATACACACAAACAAAAATGAATGCACACATGTACACATAAAACTGAAAATAAGAGAAATAATCCGTTACAAAAAAAGATAAACAACAATTTAGGATGTAAACAACAATCATTAGTTAATACCAAAGAGGAAAACAACTAGTGAGAAAATTCTCATATTAATTTTTGGTTATCACACCAAGTTTATATGAAATTTGAAAATCAGATAAATTAGAAACTGAATTGAATGTATATATATAACCCTAGTTAACTTAGTAGTATGTACCTACTAGTTGAGATATAAACAAATATGAGCTAGAGTGAATGGATAACAGAGCTTATTTAGATCAGTAAATAATTCATGCTCCTAATAACGATACTAAAATAAATAATCAAGATGTTTGTGTTGAACAATTGTTAAAAGTGATCGACAGGTACAATAGGTATTTTTAAAAGTGAGAGTTCTACTACTATCAGTAGTCGGTAGTACATTTTTTAAACGATATATATAGTATTATATTACAAGCAAGTTCAAACCTGTCCAAATAAAACAAAGAAACTCTTCAATCATATTGAATACGCCAGATAACATGTAAATCATTTAATAGATGGCCTGCTTTTTCCTGTCTTCAAGCTACAACATATTCCTATTCTATAAATTATGAATTAAATTAACGTGATTATAAAAGATAAACAAATAGTGAATGATTGTTTATAGATTAATTTTTGGGTTATATTGTATTATTAAGTGTTTCATTAGATTATTAATTCATTTTTCAAGTGTATTAAATGACTTCATTTAAGAGTTTTACTCTTCTATCCATTCTTTTTTTTTCTTTGCTTCGGTCTCTTACTTTCTTTCAATCTACTTCCTGTGAAAAAATAGTCATTTAGTTAACGAAATATATTTGGCTTTAATCTTTATACTATCATTAAGATTTATAGATTAAATAACTTCCCATTTACATAGTGACCTTTTTAACTTATTTTTCCAGTTTATGTTTTTAAAGTGAGGTTAATATAAATAATTATGGTTAGCAAACTTTATCGACTTTTGTAATCTAATAGTATGTTAATCCTTATAGGGGTTTGAATGATGTTAAAATGTTGTGCATTCGCGTAAACAACTATTTACTAAAGTGGTTATATACTCAACTGAAAAATTGAAGAAATACCTTCATTTAAGAATGTTTTGTCTTATAAGAAAA